TGTGAGAAAATAAGTTCTGTTGCTTCAATCACCCAGTTTGTGGCACTTTTTGATGGCAGCCCTAGCACACTAATAGAGAGCAGAGCAGCAGAAAGAAGTTCCACCTGCGGTCAGCAGCCTACCTCTGCTGATGCCTGCCCTCCAGGTTTCAGACTAGCTCAGCCAGTCCCACTGTCACATAACCCAAGCCCTTGCAACAAATCTCTTCACATGTACATCTCCTATTGGTCCTGTTGTTCTGATTGAATCCTGACTAATACAGAGAGTGTGCAAAGTGAGGACAGAAAAGCTGAGAAGGCTCTGGAAAACATGACCATTTAAGAAACACGAGAGGAAGAGGAGTCTGTGCTGTAGACGAGAAACCCCAAGGATGTGGCAGGAAGTGAAGGACAGGGTGATATCAGAGAAAGTGAAGGGCGTAAGACTGATCGAGCATGCCAATTCTCCACAGAAATCAAGGGACAGTCAGCCCAAAATGAGCAGCTGAAACGTGATGTTCTAGCTTTGGTAAAGGAGCTTCAGGGAGGGAACCCAAGTACATGGGGCTGAGGAACAGGTGGAAGACAAGAAAATGAAGAAGGAGGTTTATCCCTCCAAGAAACTTACCTACAACACACAGGAGGATGAAAAGACATTAGCTAAGGGAACTCAGAAAAATGGAAGGGTCGTGGATATTAATTACCTGTAAGATGACAGATGCTTGAGTATGTCCAGATGCATAAGGGACAAAAGCAGTGAAGAGATTACAAATAGCGTAGAAAGGGGATAGCTAACACAGCAGAGACCTCAGGAGAGCTGGAGGTGATGAGATTCAACTCTCAGGAGCAGGGATTTGCTCTGGATACAAAGAAGGAAACATCGCCACAGAGATGGAATGATACAAGGCAGGGCAGCTGCCAGTGCCCATATGTAGGAAGAGCATTCCCAGCAGCTAGACTCTAGTGTCACAGTGAACCACTGAGTTAAGACCATCCCCTGACCATGACGAAATATGGCCAGGGAGAGGGTTTAGGAATTAGTGCCAATGAAATTAGTTTGAGGTTCTTTTTGTTGGGTTGTTGTTTTGTTTGTTTGTTTGTTTGTTTGTTTTTTTAAGTGACAATTGGGAAAAGAAATCGGCTCTTTCTGGAAATAGGAGAGAGACATAAAAGCACTAGGCAGACTTGGGGTCAGATACATTTGAAGGCAGTGACTTTGCCTTCAAGTGTATCTTTACAAAGATAAAATTGATTTTATTCAGCAGCATTTTTCGCTGGGAATAGGAATAGGAAGATAAGGTACAGGCTTGATCCAGGGTTGAGGTTCGGACAACGGCAGAAGGACAAGAAGGCAAGGTAGCCAAATGTATTGTCAAGAGAGACTGCAGTGATGGTTTATGGTGCCCAGGTGAGGTAAGAAAAAAAAGAGCATCTGGGAGAAAATGAAGGGCTGCCTGGTAAGAAAGTATCCACAGGTCTGCAGAAGTGCTATAGAGGGCAATGAATTCAACAGTAAACCAAAGCACAGGCTCTGGGGTCAGGCTGGCTCCACAATCAGCAAGGTGTGACCTTGGTCAGTTTATTTAATCTTACTTTGCCTTCATTTTCACCATCTGTTAAATGGGGATGGTAAGACACCTATAGTTGTGATTCACGTGAAATAGGGAGCTTTACCGGCCTGGCATATATTTAGTGTCCCTTGGGTTCTGGTCATGTCCGCTGGGGGAGGAGACAGTCATATGCTTGGAAGTTGTGGGAGAATGGTTTAAGATGTCACAGATGAGACTGCCTGGCAAGTTCCAGGATGTGGGTGTGGGTGGGTATCACAGCATTCACTGCAGGGGACCTGCACAGGAAGAGGTGGAGAGAACACAGGCTTAGGATCCTAAGTGCTACACCCATGGGCACACCCGAGGTGTCATAAGAGCCAAAGACAGAGATCCAGGGCTGAGGTAAGAACCTCCCACCCCAGGACCACAAACCCCAAAGCCTGGTGAGAAGAGAGGCTGGTTTTCACAATGACAAGTTACTATGCCCTAATATTAGGCAGTTATGGCAGTTGGTACCTATGAAATGATGGAAACACTTGAAATTATAAATATATTCAGAGGGTACTGGGCAGCGTTTCAGGCACCCAAGATGGGAAAGCTATTTGTAAGACAGGTCTAAAAATAGTCAAAGCTTTTTCCACAACCCTAACTTCCTCCCCAGGTCTGAACTGGCCATCTCGGACCTGCACCTGCCCCAACATCCAAGCATCTTTAGAATGATGTCCTAGATGACTGAACCATGCCCCTTTTCAATGTGTAATATTTTAAAATAGTGTCCCTCTCAAAAGTGATCCTCCATCTTTTCAAGCAGTGTTGCTTAGCTCTCAACATCAATTATAAAAACTGCATATGAGTTCCTCACTCCGGTTCTGCTCTCAGTCCTGGTGTGTACACCATAGCCACCTCTCTCAAGTCTTCAGTTCCTTCTTCTCCCGAGTGAAATAAACCTACATCCACCAACTTTTCTTTTGAGGTTTTATTTTTCAACTCTTTGACCATCTCTCAGTCTTAACCAACTCCAAATACTCCTTAATACTCTTAGCTATAGATGTAAGCAAACTAATGTTTCAGTACATTGGCATTCCAGGATGATAGTGAAACTCCTCACTTTTCATACTTCATCTCCAAGTAGTTGGGAGTGGAGTGGGAGGACGGATGATGTTACATGAACTAGCTAACTTCTTTCGTATTTTTAGCTAAATGTATCTCCTTTTAACAAATTTTAGCCCTGGATATCGTTTGGATACACACACACACACATATATATAATTATATATTGCATATGTTATATAAATATATGAATAATTAGTAAGTGTACTATATTATTATTTATAATGGTGATTATTCATTATGTATAATTACATGTAATTATTATATATATTTATATTTCATTTCTACTTCTATTTCTTCATATTCATATTTGACATTAAAATCCTAGTTAATCTATAATTCTGTTTTCATTCTGACATGTCTACTGTTCCCTATAGATATGTCTTTGCACATATTTTAGGATTCTTCATTCCTTTTGATCCTACTCTGCAGGGCTATATAAATAAACAGTTGTTAAGCAACTAAGAAGCTCTTCTCAAACTCAAAACTTCAGGTGCTCATTCAAATAACAATAAGATGTATTTATTTTGCTCATGCACTTAAATATGATATAAGTAGGAACAGAGTTGTTTTTTTTTCCTTAGCATCTTCTTCTTGTGTAATAATGTTTTATTACAAAACAACAGCCTGTGAACCAAAGATCTCCTAAAAATTTTAATTGTAATTGAGAACACAGCTGTCTTTTCTTTTGGTTGCTATAATCTTCTCTCTAATGGAGAGCAGCCCTGAAATTACTAAGGACTTGGAAAAACAATGTGCTTTTAAAATATTTTCTCCCTCTGTAGCCTTTACTCATCACAGATAGAATGCCTATAAAATGCAATACACAATTATGGAAACCAAGGCTACCAAGCTACAAACACTAATTGTAGGTTAAATGAGCTTTACAATATATATTTGGAGGCTTAAAAGATGGGTTTTAGTTCCAGAGCACAGATGATAATAAAAGACCTGACATTCTCAAACCTAGATAGACAGATAAATGGGCATTTTTTTATTATGATGATTTCCCAAGACTCATGCTACTATAGGTAATGTTCTTAAGGTTCATAATAAATAAAGAGCTAAACTAAAATTAGAATTAAAAAACAAAAACGTAGTTTTTCTTCATCCCTTCAATGTCCCTGAAAAGAGTGACTTATGTCCCTTATTTTACAGGGACGTCTCAAAGGAATGTAAGCTCCTTATTCACTCTTAAAGGTGTATTTCCAAAGCATTAACTCTCCCAGAAAGGGAAATACATATCTATCAAAGGGCACCCAGAGCAAAGTTGGGATTTTTTTTTTTTTTCTTGTTTTCTTTGTTTAAAGAGGTCAAAATAAGGGCGCCTGGGTGGCTCAGTTGGTTAAGTGACTGCCTTCGGCTCAGGTCATGATCCTGGAGTCCCTGGATCAAGTCCTGCATCGGGCTCCCTGCTCGGCAGGGAGTCTGCTTCTTCCTCTGACCCTCCTGACCCTCCCCCCTCTCGTGTGCTCTCTCTCTCAAATAAATAAATAAAATCTTAAAAAAAAAAAAAAAAGAAAGAGGTCAAAATAAGAATCACTTCACTTACCAGAAAATTAGCAGATATAGGTGGATATTTGGGTACTTATAATTAGAAGTTGACTTCAATGTAATGCCACCAAAGAACAACAAAATAGAACCATCGGTTTCTCTCCGTGGAAAATAAAAAGTAAAGGAATTTTTGAAAACCTCCACAACCCACAGTTTAGAGGATAAATATTGGATGGCTTATTTACAAAAATCACTGATATTCTAAATAAATTAGATAACATTTCAGTACTAAAAGGGCTCATGCGTGAATACCAACAACCCTAAATAGTATACTGGCTTTTGTTCATAAACCATAATCCCAATCCGATGAGTCACAGAAAATTCTGAATATCTCCAGTGCATTCGATGGGCCTGAATTTCACCTTAAGAAATATTTGCAAAGGACAGAACAAAGTGCTCTGAACTGGCGCGGGCAACCAGGCAAAAAAGCCAGGAAAAGGAACTAGCTTCCCTTCCAGAAGACGCTGACATTCCTCCACGCCCTAGTACTTTCCCTGACCACAGTTCTTAGTAGGGGTTTGGTTAGGGGGGAGGGGGGGAAGCGGGAGGGGGAGTGGAGGGTCATTCAAACGCTCAAAACGCCCCTGGCTGTTCGATTCGCCCCCTGTGAACCTCGCAGTTCCCCACCCAAAACTCTTCCAGGAAATCCTTTACTTCAAGGAGGCCACCCTCTGAGAATCTCCAGAGTCCTGCACGGAGGGCAAGGAGTTTCCGCAACCTAGAGGGAGCCGCAACCGCAGGTCCTGGCGGCAGAGCCCGACCTTCCCTCCCGACCCCAGCCACTGCGGCGCTCCGGCCCCGCACTCACCGGATGATCACGAACATGACCAGAGAGTTGCCCACCAAGCCCACGACAAACACCACGGAGTAGACAGCCGTGATGATGACAGGGATGGCGGGAGAGATGTGCGCGGACTCCAGCGGAGCGCCCTCGGATCCCCCGCTGCTGTTGCCGTCAGTCTCGGCCCAGCCCGGCAGCCAGCCGCTGCCGTTCGGGAGCAGGCAGGTGCTCTGGGAGCAGGTGGGACCCGGCTCCCCGCGTAAGATCTGGACCGGGGACTCCATCGTCAGGCGGCTGCAGCTGGAGGGCAAGCAGAGGCAGAACCTGCAGGGCCACGAGAGCGAGAGAACCAGCTGGACCCGGAGAGGCAAACTTTGCCCGCCCACCGGCCAGCGCGCGGGGGCCAGCAGCCCGGGGAGCCCGGGACCCGCTGATGCCCACCCCGGCGCACGTCCCCAGAGGAGGAAAAAGGAGGGCGGACATCTCGCTGCAGCTGAGTACTGGTGAGGCGGACAGCGCTGGCTCCTCTTCCCGGGCTCCTGAAATCCCCTCCAACCCTTTCCTAGGCACGGTCCCCTGGTGGAATTGTTCCCAAAATGCTGCTCTGAGCCCCCAGGAACAAAAAGCTCTCGAGCACAAAGCCCTCGCTCCCCAGGACTGCTCCTCGAAAGTCAAAAGCCCAAAGCTCACCTCCGGCTCCCGGAGACCCGCAGAGTGGTCCAGGGGACGTCCTGGTCCCTGCGGAACCTCGCGCTCCCGGGGCCGCTCAGCTCTCGGAGTCGCCGCGCACCCGCAGCCCAGCGCTCTGGCAGAGGCACCTTTTCAGTCGAGCTCGGTCGCCGAGCTCAGCGCGCGGCTGCCACGACCCGTGGCGGCTCAGCCAGGCCTTTGCTTCTAGGAGTCGGCGGGGCTCACTGGCCCGTTGGGTGGAGAGCTCCAGGGCGCCCCGCCCCGGGCCGCGCCCGCCCCACCCCGTCCCGCCCACCCAAACCCAGCCTCGCGCCCCCAGCTGAGGCTCAGGGAGCACCAACTACCCAGAGCCTCAATCAGCCTCTCTTGGATGGCCCTAAGACTGAGCTGCTGCGCCATTTAGCTTTAGTAATAAGGAAGGGTGTGCCTCAGTGCAAGTATGCATCTGGATTATTCAAAATAAAGTCTAGAACTACTGTGGGCCTCATTCTCCAGACAGGTCTTCTTTCAAGAGAGGAGAAAAAGCATACTTTTATTTGAATGACCCATCCAAATAAAGTAGCAAAATAATCCAATTAGAATAAGACCAGGTCATAAGATATTAATGATTTAGTATACATAAATAGAATATTCCTGTGCATTCTATTCCTTCTAGTCTTCTCTGAGATGACACAAAGACTGCACCTTACAGGTATTACCTATATTTTGTTGTATTACCTGTGAATGGGTAAAACACTCTCCTTAGTGTTGGCCAGGGAGTTGACAATGTCTCTTTCTCTTTTTTTAATCCCTGCAATCATCACTTTTCTGTCCCTAGCGTGACTTCTCTACGAAGCCCCCAAGAACCTGAACTCCCATAGAGGAATTCAGTCATCATTTCTGTGCTTAACTCCACCAGTCAAGGATTGCTGTCAGATTCTGCTGGTGAAAGACACCCTCAGGAAGAGACCCAGGAGACAATGAAGAAAAGGAAGGAAGACCAAGGTAAGTTGCACAGGGGAGCCAGGACTCAGCCACTGAAGTGAAGGTCCTGAAGGACATCGGGAAGTTCCCCTCTCCCAACTGAGTATGGGAGTCAGGATGCTGATACAGTCATTCCATTCATCAGTTGACTGCAGAAGAGAGCTCTTACCTTGTTCAAGATATTGTGACCCCCAGAGATGAACCATGAGAGACTGTGAACTCTTGAGAAACAAACTGAGTGTTTTAGAGGGGAGGCGGGTGGGTTATCCCAGTGATGGGTATTAAGGAGGGTACATACTGAATGGAGCACTGGGTGTTATACGCAAACAATGAATCATGGAACACTACATCAGAAACTAATGATGTAATGTATGGCAACTAACATAATAAAATAAAATAAAATAAATAAAATATGAAATAAACAAATGTGAACTGAAAAAAAAAACAGATGAATGGAGAAAAAAAAAGATATTGTGACCCCCAAAGAGGCATTTGACCACAAGAGTCTTAACAACAACCTCAAAATGCACAGCTCTTCTTAGCAATTTGATTCAAAGAACAACAGGAAAGCTCTCCTTTGCCCAACAGAATCCCTCCAACCCTGGGATCATTGGTGTTTTGAAAATTATTATCAAATCTTATATCTTTTTAGGTTTTGATTGCAGATTTTCATTAGAAGATGACAAAACATCAGAATGATGGGATCTCCATGTGTCTGAGGGTCCTTCTCTGTTAGGAAGATGGCAGATGAATCATCTCCATATGTCTGGGGGCTTGTTTCCTGCCAAAGGGATCCCAGACTACCATCAAACCGACCTAGGAAGACGTTTTGTTTGAAAACTAAGCAGTATCCAAATAAGAAAGAAAGTAAAAATAGTATGTTAAAGTAAAATAGCTAAGAAAGACAGAATTATCCATTTGTCTTTCTGTCTACTACCTATTTATTTATGATTTCATGCATTCAACATACATACAACTGTGCAACACACTTTTGAAAGGGTGTTTACAATATCTATCCTCCTTTTGCACTCACCACATTGGTTAATTTTTGTTGTTGTTGTATTTAGCACACAGGTGGCTCACACAGCTGGTAACATTACTAAGTTGGCTCAAACACAGGTGTTTCTGGCTCTTGCAATATGCTGATTGCACAGAATGATTTCATGTAAGGGAGCAAATGCAGAGCCACTCTTCCCCAAAAGACAAAATATATATAGAAAGGGTTATTTGGCAAGGACAAAAAAGAAGAACAGGAAAGGTATTACTTGAAAAGATTTAGGTAAAGTTGTTTTTTTTTCTTTTTTAAGATTTATTTATTTGAAAGAGAGAGCATGAGTGGGTCGGGGGGGCAGAGAGGGAGAGGGAGAACCAGACTCCTTGGTGAGCAGGGAGCCCAATGTGGGGCTGCATCCCAGGACCCTGAGATCATGACCTGAGCTGAAGGCAGAGGCTTAACCGACCGAGCCACTGAGGTGCCCTAACAGTTTTAAAGAGGTAAAAAAAAACTTTAAAGACGTTTCCAAGTTGGTACAATTTCAATAACCTGAACTTTTGCTCTCCCTGTACGTCTCATATGTATACATAGTGTATGTGTATGGAGAGGTTTGCCAGGTACTTCTATAATGAAAGCAGAATGCAGAACTCAGCCTGGGACTTCTAAATTATAAGATGATGTTCTCATTCTGATCACCAATAAGAAACCTCTACTAGTTGGGACAGTCTTTTGAAGGCAAAAATTACTAATTATGATAAAGGCAGTTTTGTTTCATTTGAGTACTCCTATTTTTTTTTTCTTTTTTACCAAATTAATGGCCAAAATAAAGTGAAGCCAAAATGGGCAGAGCATTAAAAAACCTTCAGGCAGTTGCGGTTGCCAGGGGAACCTCGCTTGTGTCTCTGAACACAGTGAGGAAGTCCGCTTATGTGGATTCAGGTTGTCAGGAGTATGAGATTTTATCATAATATTGGAGAAAAGCGAGGAGGGGCGGAGCAAGGTGGCAGAGGAGTAGGAGACCTGGATTTTGTCTGGTCTCAGGAATTCAGCTGGATAGGGATCAAACCATTCTGAACACCTACAAACCCAACAGGAGATAGAAGAAAAGAATAGCAACATCTCTCTGAACAGAAAAGCAGCCACTTTCTGGAAGGTACGATGTGCGGAGAAGTGAATCCGAGGTGATATTCGGGAGAATAGACGGCGGGGGAGGGGGCCTCCGTCGGCCACTTTTGCAAGTGATAGAGCCGCGGAGCTCAAAATCAGAACTTTTAGAAGTCTGCTCCGCTGAGGGACGTTGCTCCAGTGGCTAAGCGGGAGGTAGAACCCTCCGGGACAGTGTGGTCTCAGGACCGTCGGGGTCACAGAAAGACCGGGGGTGCCTGAGTGCGGCAGAGCTCCCAGGTATCGGAGCGGGGAAGCCGACTGCAGAGACGGAGCCAAGGCGCAAGCTCTCAGCTCGGGGTTGCCATAAACCATGATCTGCGGCACAGTTGGGCCACTGCTCCTCCAGCAGGGACCCAACAAGCGGCAGATCCAGGGAGACTCCCTGTCCTCCCCCGGGAGGAGTGGCATGGGAGCGCACCACAGGAATCTGCTGGGTTTGGAGACTCCACACCGAGTCGTGTACCAGAGATAGAAATACTCGGTCACAGGCTGGGTGAGCACAGAGTGCGGCCAGAGACCAGGGAGACAGGAGTGACTGACTGCTTTTCTCTGAGGGTGCACTGAGGAGTGGGGCCTCAAGTACTCAGCTCCTCTGAGGGGGAGATTGGGAGGCCGCCATTTTCACTCTCCTTCTCCAAAGCTGTACGGAAAGCTTACAGGGAACAAAATCTCCTGAGAGCAAACCGGAGCAGATTACTTAGCCCTGGCCGGGCAAGGGAGGGGCAATTCCGCCTCCGGCAAAGACATTTGGCAACCACGGCAACAGGCCCCTCCCCCAGAAGATCAGCGAGAACAGCCAGCCAAGACCAAGTTTACCAATCAAAGAGAACAGCAGAACTCCAGCGCTAGGGGAAAAATGCACAGAGAATCCATGGCTTTTTTACCATGATTCTTTAGTCTTTCGAAGTTAATTTTATTTTTAATGGTCTTTTTTTTTTTTTTTGAATTTTTCTTGTTCCCTTTTTCAACCAACATCTTATCAATCCCTTTTTTAAAAAAACATTCTTATTTTTCCTTTTTAGAGTCATATTCGATCCCTTCATAGTAGTTACCCTTATTTTTGGCATATATATATATCATATATATATATGATATATGATATATATATATGTTGTTCTCTCTTTAAAATTTTTAGATAGTTTCTTCTAACAGATCAAAATATACCCTACATCTCTAGTGTACAGATTTGTTCTACTCTCCTGCCTGATCACATTCTCTCCCTTTTTTTTTCTTTTTTTTTTTAAATCCTCTTCTTTCTTTTTTCAAACAACTTCTTATCAATTCCTTTTATAAAATATTTTATAATTTTCATCTTTACAGTCATATTCCATCACTTCATCATATCAACCCTTATTTTTGTACATATATAAGTTTTTCTTTCTTAAAAATTTGGGAGGCACTTTCCTCCAACAGACCAAAATACATCCAAAATCTAGTGTGTGGCACTGATCTATGCACCACCCTGATCATATTTGATCATATTATGTTTTTTTTTGTTTTGTTCTGTTTTTGTTTGTTTTTATCTTTTTCATTTCCTTTTTTTTTCTTTTTCTTTTTCTTTTTTCTTTCTTTCCCCCTGGCTTCAGTCTTTTCTGATTTGTTTAGAGTATATTTTCTGTGGATGTTGTTACCCTGTTAGCATTTTGTTCTCTCATTCATCTATTCTCTGGACAAAATGACAAGACGGAAAAAATCACCTCAACAAAAAGAACAAGAGGTAGCACCGACTGCCAGGGACCTACTCAATATGGACATGAGTATGATGTCAGATCTAGAGTTCAGAATCATCACTTTAAAGATACGAGCTGGGCTTGAAAAAAGCATGGAAGTTATTAGAGAAACCCTTTCTGGAGAAATAAAAGAAATAAATTCTAACCAAGTCGAAATCAGAAAGGCTATTAAAGAGGTGCAAACAAAAATGGGGGCGCTAACTGCTAGGATAAATGAGGCAGAAGAGAGAATCAGTGATGTAAAAGACCAAATGATGGAAACTAAAGAAGCTGAGAAAAAGAGATAACTACTGGATCACGATGGCAGAATTCGAGAAATAAGCAATACCATAAGATGAAACAACATTAGAATAATTGG